TTCTGACACAATTTACTTTTGCGGATAACATTTTTAAAAAATATTCTATTGAAAGAATTATGTTACTGCTGTTTCCAATAATTTTAAGAAGTTGTTCATAACAGAAAAGAGTTAACTCTAAAAAGCTATTTCACAGAAAGTAACACAGAATACAAATAACAGATTTTACTTTGAAATGTAAATATAAACTAGAATAATCTTGATTACAGACAGGAAGACAAAATCATATGCCTCCACAGAAGAAAACTCTGATTAAAAATAGCCAAATTGCTTTTTCACACACTCTCCTAAAGACATGATATCTATTTTTTGTAAGTATTTTTATTCCAAGCAAAGAATTTCACTTTTTCTCTCTAAATAGAAATTATTAAGTGGACCTCACTTTATGATGTCATTCTAACTTATGCCAAGCATTGGTGAGGTGACATATCCTTGCTTAGGAACAGTTTTGCACCAGTTTTTTGGACAATTGCTTCCTCTTAAGAAAGTTTAACTTTTGTCTACAGCTATACCACCCTGAACGCGCCCGATCTCGTCTGATCTCAGAAGCTCAGCAGGGTTGGGCCTGGTTAGCACTTGAATGGGAAGAAAGTGTAGTTTTTTTAAAACCATAAATCATTTTAACATGTTAATTTTTTAAAGAACATGACCTCTTCTACTAAACAAAGGTAGATCTCCAATCAGCTAGTCCTAAATGTATTTCATTTTTTATCATGGACTTGTTTTTGCTTTTGTTTTTAAGTAACAAATTAATAGAACTACATACAAGGACTGGAAGAATTTAAAGTTACATTTTTTTTATTAAATCCACTTGGTCTATAACAAATGGTTCATCTAAGTGTCTATTGAAATGAATCAAAGTAGCTGTAGCAAACAATATCCCTTTCTCTAGCTCCTCCTTCTTTTAAACATATTACATATATTTTCCACATTGTCCAGTGCTGTTTAGTGAACAGTAACTATGTCTGTCTTGCTTATCACTCTAACCCTAGTATTTACTTCAGTTCCTGGTATGTGATAGGTACTCAATAAATATTTATTGAATTAATTAATTCTTAACTAGTTTTGTATCTCTGAGCTTAACCTACTTAGTTTGGTAAAGTATAAAAGTGTGAATTTCCAGTAGCTGTTGTACATAGAACAATTGAATTCTGATGAATGTTGGATACATTATTTTCTCTCATTGTATAGCTATATTCAAAGCAAGTCTTCCTCACACATTAGGAGAAGATGGAAATATGGATGATTCCTAGAATAATCTAACCATCCTGTACAAATCATTCAGTGCAAATAATTATTCAATTCATTCACTCAAAAACACATTTACTAAGATTCTACTTTGTATCAAGTCCCATAGACTAGACACTATATTAGTTTACTAGCATTATTGAAGAAAATTATGACATAATAGGTGGCACAAAACAATAGAGTACAGTTTTGAAGTCCAAAACATGCACCCTCTAAAGACTCTAAGGGAGAATTCTTCCTTGTCTCTTCCAGCTTCTGGTGTCTCTAGATGTTCTTTGACTTTTAGCTACATGAGTCCAGTCTCTGCTTCTGGCTTTACATGGCCTTCTCCTCTTTCTCTTTCTATAAAGACACTTGTCATTGGATTTGGGATCATGCATATAAGCCAGGATAACTGGGATTTTATTTACATGTGTAAATTCCATGATCAGAGGGCATGAAGAGACTTAATTCACTACACATAACATAATAAATGCATTTCTTGCTCTAATGGAATTTGAATTCTAGTAGAAAAGACAGGTACCAAATAAAGTACTTTTCAATAAGCTATGATTGTTTTCTTTGTAGAGGTAGTTTAAAGGTCTATCAGAATGGTGGGCTAACTTAATAAACATCCTGAAAAAACTTTCCAGATGACATTATATTTATAAAATAGGACTAAAGAGGAATGAACCACTAGAGAAAGGTTGGCTCAGCCAAGTCACTAAAAGAAGTTTGTCATGATTAGAGAATGATATGATAGGACTAGGGACATATGATAGAGACATTTGTAGAGAGTTAAAGTCCCTGGAGTTTATTCTGAGGTGAAGTCAGAGCTCTGTGAAGGACAAACACTAACACCATAAAAGGAAGAAAATCCATCAGTATCAAGGAGTGTGTCACAGGTATTGGGTGTTTTTCTTATTTCTGTGTGGCAAATCTTATTTTTTCCAATACTTGTGGCCAGTAACATAAAATTCTTCTAACTAATTGCGACCATAATATTTAATTCAGCATTCTAAAATTACTGATATGAAACCAAGGCCATATAAGGCTATGATTGTGCTAGGAAAACAAAAGAGCTGTGTGCAAAAATAGGTTGAATAGGGGCAAAAATATGGCCATTAGCATTGGCTTGAGAAAGGCAAATCAGAGTTGATTGCCAGCTTTCTGTGTACAATGTATGTGAATTTAGGCAAGAGATGTAGCCACTTAAACTAGGAACAATAGGACCTACCTGTCATAACCTTTTGATAATGCATTTGAAGCTCTATGAATTGTGCTAGGAATAAAATTTACCATCAAATAAAGCATAGCAGTAATGATAAAGAACATAATCTTATTGATATGTTTCAAATCATTCCCAACTCATCCTGGGTATCATTTAAGTGCTTCATTAAACAATCTTATTTTCAGTTGATGGGTTATTTGTATATTTTATTATCCCAGAACAGTATTTAGGATCTTTAGCATACAAATCTAAGAATTGTAAAGAAATATTTATTTTTCAAAATGTTACAATTTAATATTCTGTTTTCAAATGAAATTTTAACGAGAAGTATATGTGCAGTTAATTACAATTATGTGAAAGAAGACATATTAGTAAAACTGACAATGTAATAATTATTAAAGTCAACAAAATTTTCTATAACAATGTAGTCTGATTATCAACGGGCACTGAATTACATAACCTTATTTTCCATCTGGACTTTTAATACATAGTCTCAGTAAATTACTAGTTACTTGACTACTCTGAAAATACAATGCAAACTCTCAAACTTATATCTTGTAAATATAATGGTTGCTGTGTAAATAATGTTTCCTTTTTAAAATGCCATCTTATCAGGGGCTGGGGATTTAGCTCAGTGGCATAAGTGCCTGCCTTGCAAGCAGGCAGTTGTGAGTTCGATCCCCAGTTCCAATAAAAAGGAAAAAGATAAAAAAAAAAATTGCCATCTTATCTTCAAATTTTTAATGTTATTTGCTATACCATCAGTTTCTTAAAATTTGTTGTTTAATAATTTTCAGTGAGAAAATGTGACATTTTGTAGCAGAACATTAATTCCCAAGACATCAGTGATATTTTGAATATTAGGAAATTCCATCAAGAACTGCTAAAATTACTTACTGGATAATTTACACCTATTTAATTTGTCCCTGCACAGATTATGAGCTAAAACTCAACACTGCAATAAATTGCCTGAAAATATGTTAACTATATGATAGTGACCAAAATATAATTACAAGTTTTAATAAATTTCTTTTAGTGGAAAAAGATTTGTTTTTACTTACATTAAGATTTCTTTAAAAGTCTCTTTGCTATAACTGGTTTCTTACTGACTCAACAATTGCATTTAAGGTTCATATATTTTCTAGTGGCTATGTTATTTTCATGAGGATGTTATAGTTCTGGGTATATAGTTACACATAGTATTACATTCTTAATTAATAATTGAATAGTACATACATACTTAAATAGTACATACTTAATTCCCACAAAAGACCAATTTCTATGGAAGCCTTGAAATTCCCAAGTTTATTAAGTTTTATGGCATAAAATTATACAGTTTGCATTTTGATTATATACAGAGTCCACCAAAAAATGTATACACACTTCAACAGTTAACTGTATTAATAAATGTCTAGAACTTAATGTCTATCATTCTGAGTACTTCTTGTAATTGCAGAGGTCAAAGTTTACTTATATTAATTTCATGTTAATAAAGTTACTATTAAGTGGTTATACTATTTTTTCCTGATGTTTACGTTTTTTGACATATTACTGTCTTTAATCTAGTTTGCTCTCTATGATTGCTGAGATCAATGGATATTATCTGTAGCAGTGGTGGCAAACCTAGGGCACATGTGTCACAGTGGGCTACTTATATCAATGAGTTTGAAAAACTTGGCCATCACTGTTCCAAACCAATCAGAATTTTATTATAGGTTTCCTTCAGGTTAAGTGGTATTGAAAGATCTTCCTGTTTAAATAGTATAGAAAATTGATAAGAATTACTACTGTGAACTACGTATAAGAAGGGGAGATCAAACAAAAATTTGGAGAACTGAATTTTGTTTTAGCTCTGTGAGAGCAAGTTCTTCAAATGCTCTCTGCTTCTGTCTCCTTACCTGTGTTCTGAACCAATTTTTCATTCTATTTAATAAAAAGTATATCTCATTAAAAATTCTGCAATGCAAAAATCAAGAAATATTAATAACATAATAGAATTAATATATTTTTTAAATTCTTAGAATATTCATGTGCCTTTTATTTCTAAAGAAACAGGCCTTTAAAATATCACTTTTCAAATTACTGCCTAATATCTCAGCACCTATTATTTTTCAACATCTGCTGTGGAGTTGAGAATTTGGAATTTTAATGTTTGAATTTAGTTCAACAAAATCTATAGAAAGTCATTCTTCCCAGCCCCCAAAACTGTAAAGTCATTTTATTGGCAAAGTTATTTTAGAGGAAATAAAATGAGAAATTATGTAAAACAAAGTTCATTAGTCCATCTGTTAATTTAATTTCATGACACAACCTTCATCTTAAAATGTAGGGTATCTGGAATCCATTATACTTTTATAAGAAAAAAGAAAGGTTTATGCTCTGACTTCAATTATCAGACCAAATGTATTTATTTTGGGTTACCATCCTACATGCCAAGTAGTGAATAAAGGCCATATATGTTGGAGTCTTGGTTTCATTCTGTTGTAACATAATTTTTTAGCAATGTCACCAGAGCAATTTTAATGTGATGTCTGTGTTTCAGCTTCGGACATGGCGGCAGAACAAGGGCAGATTCTGGTGATTGCCACCGCGGCTGTTGGGGGATTCACTCTCCTCGTCATCCTCACTTTGTTCTTCTTAATCACTGGGAGGTAACGGGAACATACTAGATTCTTCCAAGACTTGTGAATGACTACTTTTTGTATACACTGTGTATTCAACTGCTCTAAACTTCATAAAACACATCAAAGACGAGTGGGATGCTGGCTGGATTCTGGGCTGAGTGTCAGCTTTACACTGCAACCTAAGCCCCTCACTAGTCATAGGTAAAAGCAAGTCCCTGCAGATGGACTCATGGAAATATTTGGTTAGTGTAGTTTAAAAACTATGAATCAAAAATTTGCTATCAATGAGTTAATTCTGAATTTTTTTCTTTTCTATAATTATAGAATGAAAAAGATTTTTCTTAGAACAAGTTACATTACATCCTTTAAAACAGCTCACTAATTAGCATTTGATTAGTTGGTTTCATAAATCTGGTATTTCACCACTGTAGAGAAATATGGATGAAATTCTAAAGTAATGACAAATTCAACAGACCACAATACCAAGATTTGAATTCTGACAAGTAGAAGTGCTTCACACATCTGAACCTTAGCTTTCTCTTTTTGCATAGTCTTGGTCTGATAATGTAGTAAAACCATTTATTGGCTCTTAAATATATTAGAGGATTATTGTGAACCAGATTATGACAATTTAGAAGAATGAAGATAATATGTAAGAAATTGTCTCAAAGCTTACATAATATTTCTTACATTACCCTTACTATTTAGCCAAGACTTTTGTCAGATTATTCCCCTAAAAAGAAAATGTATGCCTCTTAGACATCAATAGAGTCACAATAAAGTACCTTATGACTTCTAGATAATATGTGAATATGTATACTACAAAATACTAATATTATGATTTAAAGCTGCAGTCGAAATGCCAGTCAAGTTATATATATTATAATATTCAGATTGTCACAGAGGTTGAAGCAAAACTCTCAACAATTGTGATACACACTGAAGATGTGTTCTGTTCAGCCAGTTGAGATGAGCAGTTTTATGAATTGTCAAATCATATAGATATTGGTGAATTTCATGTTGAAAAACTCATGGGAACCTGTTATCTAGCCAGAGAATAAAATATGCCTCTACCAAATTTCAAATATTAAGAAAGAAGCTTTATGCCATTTATCACTAAAAGTAAAAGACAATTTTTTAAATTTCTGTGATTCTGACACAAAATCAATTTTTCATTTTCATTTTTAGTTCTTTTTACCTACTCTGGTCAATGGAAATCATATAATAAAGGAAATGATAGTTATAGTTGATTATAAAATAGTTTGTAAGATTCCTATCTTTTGGATAAATCTATTTGAAAGTATTTTATTCTCTGAAGCCAATTTTGTTATGCCTCAAAAATTTTCTGCAGAATATTTTCATATTATAAAGACTTTAAATTAGTTTTTATGATAAAAACTTTCTCCCTAGATGATATATTTTTAAATGGTTTTAGTTCTTATCTTGCATAATTATTAAAATAAGTTTTCATTTACTTCTATCAAAGGTGTCACTGGTATATAAAGGCAAAAATGAAGTCAGAGGAGAAGAGAAGAAACCAGTTACAGAATGGGCATTGTAAGTAATGCAGTGACTTTTTTCCATTACTATTTTATATTCCTCACCACTTCAGGAGTTCATTTCAAATTGTATCTATTGAGTTGGGAAAGAAAACCTTTCAGTGTTAAAGCTTTCATCTGCTTCCAGGTTTGTTTGTAGAAATTGCACCTGCTTCTCATTACCTTTTTCCCAATTCTGATTGCTAGAAAATACAAGAGACTGAATAATATGTGAAGACTAAAAATACGTGGTGATTGATTATATCTTGTTATTTATCATTCATAATGGTTTCTGAATCACAGAAAGTTATATTTAGCAGAGCATTAGATATAGAGATATTAAGGAAACTATTTCTTCTTGTAAGGACTGTCATTTGAAACATATAACAAAGCAATTTACAATTCATTAACACTAAAAAAAGAGTATCAGCTCTTTAACTCTTAGAATATGTATGAAATCCTTGCGCTGACTACAAGGTTATATTCGTTTGAAGATCTCTCCTCGATCAGGCTATAATTACCACTACAGTTGGTTTGATAATTGCCATGCTCTCCTCCCTAACACCCACCTCCACTTCCACCTCCACCTCCAAATTGCAAACTACTTTGCCAAGACAAGTTCTCTATCAGTGAGTCACTGAATTAACAGAAAAAGATGTTCACTAATTAACCACAGCACAGAGATGATACATGAAACAACTTGTGTAACTGTTTAAACACATCATTTATTTCCTATTAAGCAAAAGGTATAAGGGACTTTCCAATCCACATCACTCTCCAAGGGAGGGAAAGGATTTAAGTAGGATCTTACAAATCAGTGGGATAGATTAGAGCAATTTCTGACTCCTATGGTTAAGTTGGAGGACTATCTGCATTATAATATTTCACTCCTAGTCCTCCAGGTGCTGACTCAGATGACAGAGGGTAGGGTTGAGGCACATAATTTGCAACAGCTCTTCAGCATTGTTATTCTGTAAAGCAAATATGAGTTCTACCACACAGACAGAGCTCAGACAACCAACACTCGGCATAGGATGGTCTGGAAACACTGTAAAACAAGTTGCAGGAAGATCCAAACACTTGGACAGGTGACTTATGCTGGACAACTTTAATATACACTGCAGGGCACTTGGTACTGAAGAAAAAGATACTCCTGAGATATTTATGATCTGTTTTCTAAGTAGAAGTTTAGCATGAACTAAACCAGATTGGCTTAGCAAAAAGCAATCAAAATCATCTGAGGTAGCAAAGAAGCTAAAATAGAAAAGGCAAATGGATGTTTAAGAAGGCAGAGATAAGTGAAATCGAGTAACAATACATTCAAAATTAAAACTAAGCTTGGATATTTTTCCCTATAATACATAATTTTGTTTATAAAAAAGAAAGTGTTACTAACTAATCAGTTTATTCTACAGAAATGTATCACTTTAGAAAAATGAATTATTTATTAAAACTGCATGCATTAGTAAATGACACTTGTTACTATCTGTGCCTGTCTTTGCAACATGTCTATTTATCTGATTAGATGCAACTAGTCACCTACTAGTAGCTGCTAGATTTGAGCTTATAGAGCTCAGTGTGAGATCATAGCTCTTAAGTTTTAAAAAATCTATCAAATGGAATAAAAAACTGAAGTACAGATTCTCATTTCTTTTTTCATTATTCCTGTAACCTAAACTTTGAAAAGTGAAGAAAAGAACAGTATATTAAAGTCAGTTTCAGGATAAGTATACCTGGAAGTATGCTTTTCTGGTGCTATTTTGAGAAATACTAATTTTCTCTGTGCAGATCAAGCACTAAGATAGTGGACAGAGTTTAATAAATGAAGGCAATGAGCATAGAAGAATTAATGAAGCAAATTACTGCCAATAATGGGCATTGCATCACCTACTCTACGTTTATCATATTACTGTTTGTTTTTGAAATTTTCTTTCAAAAGCATTGTTTCTAAGGAGACCCAAAAAACAGTTAACTCTGGATTAGTATGGCTTTCCATTTCTGTGAAGCAAGTATCATGCCTTCTGCAATAAATTTAGCATTGGCCACTTAATCCATACAAATTCACATTCAGCTGTGTTCTTATTACCCATAAAACTAGATCTGAAAAATTTGGCAATATCAAAGAGTGAAGTGAAATGATCTGCACTCCACACACTAGCAGTCTACAGTGGTAAACAGGAATTGAGGCAGAAAACAAGAATATTTGCAGTGTAACTCGTGCTGATACTCACAAGTGAATGGGCAGCCATATATTCATGTTTCCTAAGGATCTGGATTTGAGCTGTCCCTCAAACTGTGAGCACTAGCACAATTAGCTCCACTAGGAAAAGCAGCAACAGCTACAAAACCCATGACAAGAGTTGGGACTTTGATTTTCATCCTTCCTAGCACTATAGACGAGCTCAACTTTCTAGGTTTGGCCATGGAAGCAACTGTGAGGGCACAGAAAAGGGCCATTACCTGCAGTGACCTTCCCTGTGTCTGCGCCACACATTTGCTCTTTCTTCTAGATTTTCTGAGAAGAGGTGGGGGAACTACAGTACCAGGGCTTAAGACCAGGAACATCTAGTACCTGTGAATACAAAGGATGCAGGAGGAACTTTAAATAGCTGGCTAATAAGGGATTGACGCTTAGGCCTCATTTTCTACCTTTCCTTAGCTAAACCAGATGTGAAGTGTACGGGTCCTTCAGTGGATGAGTAAGCTGATTTTTAGAGAAATAAAACAGGTATTTTGTGAAACCTGTCAGCTCACTCTCTGTGGATCTACATAATTTTAAATTAACTTTGAGATAAGTAAATGTTTGATCACATGTAATCAAAGCTTTATTGAGGGGAAGGATGAGATAGGGTAATAGGCCAAGAGGAATTTGAATATGTAGGCAAACTTCCTACTTACATATGTCACTCCTATAAAAACTCACAAACTGTACAATTCTATAATAGTCTAAGCTAAATCAGTCTGTTTTTGTTGTTGTTGTTGCAGTACGCTTCCCAGGAATTAAAACTTACATTGATCCAGATACCTATGAAGACCCATCTCTAGCTGTCCATGAGTTTGCCAAAGAGATTGATCCTTCAAGAATTCGCATTGAAAGAGTCATTGGGGCAGGTAAATGTAAAATCTAGACTTTTGAGCATATGATTCCATAATGAATTTACAGTGTAATATTTTAAGTCTTTGCAGTTTCAGAGATTGAACATTTTTTAAAAATAGAATTATATTTGTCATGTTATTCTTTAAGGTGCCCCTATTCAGTTTCCAAATTGAGAAATTTCATAAGTTATTTTCAATCCTATAGTCTTCCTTCATAATGAAGAGAAATTAGAGTAACAGTGTACTGTTACTGATAATGTATTTGGAAAATGCAATTTTGAGAGCTTGTCATAGGATTGTTACAGATTTACTCAAGCCCCACCGTCTACAAACACATATTGTACTCTAATATTCCTAATGATGATTTTGATGATCTTGATACCAAGAGGTGTTCTGAGAATCACTGAGAGAAACTTGGTTCAATATTATTTTGTTGGGCTTTGGATATAGCTCAGTGGCACAGCACCTGCTGGCAAGCACAAGGTCCTGAGTTTGATGCTCAGTCATTTTAGTATAAATGTCTATGTCATTTTAGTATAAATTAATAATTTTCCCTAACTAGAGTTTTTCAGTATTCTACATATTTTATTATCCAAATATTCTGGATACAAAGCATTATAAATTAGCACATAAAATATTATGCTATAGATCACTTAGGAAAGGGACTCAGCTGACAAAACAAGGGTCTACAGAATAAAGATTTTAAGTCCTTGACCAAGGTGAGTAATCAGTGCTGTTAGAGGGGCTCTCGTTCAGATCTTTAAGGACTGAATTCTTTATTCCTTGCATTGCCTTTGCATAGCACTTCTTCGTCCTCTGAATGGACAAAGTTGAGTCACCAGCACATCTGCCATTTAGTCCATATGAGAAAAAAAGAGTTCGGCCTATTCATCTTTGAGGCAAGAAACTCAAAACTGCAAACACATCTATTAACATCCCAGTGTTTTAAGTCCATTATACAGACACACTTACATAGAATCACTGACAAAGCAACTTAGTATGCCGCTAAAAAGGCAGCAGGAAGGGGTGAGAAAGCATGTCTTCCTAAAATAAAGAGGGAGACTGGATCCTGAAGAAGTTACATACAGGCCTCTTGTGGATGCTGCATATGTGTGATCTTTGGGAGAGAAGAGAGTAATGGTGGTTGCAGCATAGTTGCAGTCCGTTGTCATATCTTTGCAAAAATACAGTGGCTTGGTATTCTTTGTCCTTATCCAAACTGCTTCATAGAAGGTCAATCTGTATAATTTACAGAGCCCAGGGAAAAATAAAAAGGCAATATATTAGTTTAAAAAATTTAAGAATTTTAATATGATAACAATAGAGCATTAAACCAATTGCAGAGGTCCTCCAAACTCAAAGGTGGGTGTAACTGTACTGGTCATACGGCCAAGAAGCTAAACCTGTTATCCAGATATACAGAAGACCAAGTTTACCTCAAGATTTCCAGGGATAATTGGAGAGAGCCCTTGCTGACCTCATTGTGTTCTCTGTGCACAGCTGATCATCACATCTTCTGTATGGCCAGGTGTCCCTCTGGAAGCTAGCACAAGGGTCCTAACAAAGCAAAGAGGCTGCCTTCTCAGGAAGATTAAGAACCTGGAGTAGAACCAGATTCTCTCTTCTGCTGAGCAAAAAGCACCTCAATAGGCATAATTGCAAATAGTGAGTGCATTATATTCATTTAGTTTAGGGGTTCTCTTTGGACAGCTGAAGAATAGCGAGGAGAGGAGGTTGAATAGTTTCCATTGTACGCTGCATGATATGTCCTTACATGCTGCACTATTCAGTGCTCATGGACACCATAGAATGCTTTTCTGTTATAGCCTTTTGTGAATAAATTAAATGTCAACCTGTGAAATCATAAAGTAGAGATAAAGTAAGGTATCTGAGAGATAAAGAGAGATAAAGTAAGGTATCTGAAGTTTAAACAATATTAAAAAATTAAATCTTTCCTCGGTATTTGGGATTTTTTTTCCTAACCAAAGTATAAATTTTTCTCTAAAAAGAGCATAACAAATTTTGCCAAAGCAAACAATGACTACTAATGATGCTATTTTAATATCACATTCCAATTGTTGTCTAAATTCCAGTTGTAATAGGATTTTTCTCACTTGGAAAAATCAGATACTCAAGTTATATAGCCAGTAATATAATTAGTGTCTATTTTATTTCTTTACTCTTCTTTCACTACTTCAACTTTCAACAATGTGCTAAGAGTCCTTTTACTATCTCTTTTTGGAAAAATTTGAAAATGAAAGTGCTTTTTGAGAGAAAGCTGTTGTAGCCTATTATTTCTCTTTTTGTCAATCCCCATTAGTAATTAACTCATTCGGGATGTTTTATTCTAAAACTTCTTGTGTAAAAAAGCAAAAAGCGTGTGAGTATATGCACATTTCCCACAGCAGCAGTGTGGAGCAAGCATTGTTCAGTCTAAGGGTGAAATTGGCTTACCCTTCATAAGGGTCACAACCAAAGTTCATCCAATAAAAGACTAGTTAACAAGAGAAAAGCGTAACAAATTTATTTAATCAAAGTTTTTCATAGCCTGAAAATCTTCAGAAATGAATACTGAAAGACCTATGGGAAACTATTAATGAGAGTTTATTTTTGATAAAAACAGGTCAGCAGCTGTATAGAAATGTGATTGGACAAAGGAGTGTGATACAATTGTAATGGACTGAAGGGAAAATCATGTAAGACTTATCTGTTCAGATTTTTCTTGGCCTCTCTATGTAGCATTCTTTGCTCATATATATTAGATAAAACCCCTCTACAATGAGACTCTTATCAGCCAGAGAATTACTATATGGTCTGCACCTACATGGAAAAGCAAGAGAATGTTAAAGTAATAAATCTACTTTCTATAACTCGCTTTGGGAAAGAATTCTGGTTTCTGTGAATTGCTTCAGGGAAAAAATGTGAGAGACAGCAGAGACCTTCTGAGGTCTTTGTAGCATCCTTCCGTCTGGCATTTAAAAATGACATATTTGTGGTGTCATCTTATGATGAATCCCAACATCACTGGGACTCAGAAAAAGTGTAGAAAAATTTTTGTAGAAAAGTGTAGAAAAATTAGTACTTATGTAACATTTCTTACATATTTGCAAACTGGTTAGTTACTCAACTTTAAGGGAACTTGTACTCTCTCCTAGTTTTCTTTTTGCTTCACCTATTGGCTGTTTGTTATACTTCATGTCTATATCATTGGTGCATTAGATAGTTCCCATGAAAATATAAATTAAATGAGTTAAGTGGCAGGATACATAATTGGCTGAGGTGGAATAGATGTAAGATACTCAGACAGGAATAGAGCCCTAACCTAAGGATTGGAAAGGAGTATATAAATCTACAATTCATTGCCAAGCAAAACTCCACAAGATTGGATGTTTTCTTGGCATGGAACTTTACAAATTCTTTCCATGTTTTTAGTTGGAAGACCCAGTGTACAATAAATATCTCATAAGTGAATTATAATAAATATAAAAATAAACACATTAATTTATTAAGGCCATGAGAAATGATAGTATATTACACCCATAATATTTCTTAATACATTCACTAAACAATGTTCATTATATAACTAATACTTTAAAAATATGCTCATTAATTTTTTCATATAGAGTCACTCTTCAGTGATATTTTTATTCAACCTGTTTTCCATAACCTCTCTGCAAGATTTTCAGCTTTGTAACCATCAAAATTATTCCACAAGACATTAGAAAACTTAATTTATCAGTATGAATATTTAGTTAGGTAGTCTTAAAGTTCTCTTGTCTTTTGTTGTAAATTGCACTGTCTTTTCTTATATGTGTTTTCTAGGACACTTCTTTGTATATCATTATTCTACTTAGTAGTGGCAGCTTATCTTTGTTCATCAATACAGGCCTGAATTTCCATGAAAATGCACATTTCCATTTAAATGAAGCCAGTAGCTCTATTGCATAGGAGACTGTCAAGATCATCTATATCCTTTGATTTTTTTTTTTTTTCAACAGGAAGACTAAGGGCATAGGACTGAAAGCAGAAACACCCAGGTTAAAAAATTCAAGGCAGATTAGGGCTGAATCATTATTTCATACATATCTTGAGGGGTAATAAGAAAACTGGTAAACTGAATTTTAATCATGATCTGGTAAAGGTCATTGAAAGGCTATTCCTTTCTAGGACAGTACTGAGCTTACACCATTGTAAGAAAAAACTTGCTTAGCAGAGTATCTATAATTTTCAAACATTATTCCATTGAAAAATCATTCTTGTGTTTCTAAGCCCATAGGGCACCCTTCTTAGATCTGACCTTCCCTGTTTTCCTCTTCGCAATGGAAATGAGTAATATCTTTCTGTCATTCATATTCTATCCCTTTATCTGTACAAAACTCATTATTGCCTCTGCTATCAACCTTCTCGTCTGGCTTAGTGTCACATTTTTCCCCCATCCTACAGTATTCCAGGAAACTTCTTAACTGTTGGTTTCTCAGCAATCTGCAGGTAAAAGGAAGTTGAAAAGACAACAAAAAGGACATTAAAAAATGAATGACAGTACGGTGATGTATACACTGTAATGTCTTTATGTTTTGAGGTCACATTTGTGCTTGATAATGTACAAGACAAAAATGTTAACTTTTGTGCTTTTCCAAGTTCCCATCACCCAAACGTAGCCAGATTCCTCTCTGCAATCAATTATTTTACTTGTCTTACTGGAACTATCTTAAGCTTTTTATTATACTTATTTCTTTTTTATAGTTATATTGTCTTGTAACATGACAAGAAATATAGGCAGTATTCCAACATGTAGTTTCATAATTCTCTTGTTACAAAAAGAAACGTGTTTATGGCCTATTTCTTGTATATTTAGATGAGATGGTTTTTCTTAGGTGCAAGTTTTGGGCTCATTCATCAACTTAATTTACGATTGAAGTCACACTTATTTTTTTGTGTGTGCATATAAGTGTAATCTTAAAAGTCCTTTGAATAGTCAATAGGTCAATAGAATGAGCTCAACAGATTTGTGCAGA